GGACGAGGTGGGAGCGGCTGCGATGGAGGCGAAGAGGGTGGGCCCTGCACTGGTGGCGGTGGCTGCTGGTGCGGGCACGGCTGGCTGGGTGGCCCCGGTTGCTGCTGTGGCTGTAGTGAAGGGCAACCCGGGAAGGGCCATGGGCTGGGTCTGGGCCGGGGCTCCACTGCCTAGAGAGCCAATGTTGAAGCCGGAGGTCCCAGCCTGGGACGAGCTTCCGCCGATGAACGAGAACCCTCCGGACGTGGAGGCTGGAGCTGTGGAGGTGGCAGAGGAACCGAACACAAAGCCAGTGGATGCCGTCCCCTGGCTGGAAGTGACAGCATTTGATAAGGCATTGGCGAGGGTGCTGCCACCAAGCCCAAAGCCGCTGGGGTTGGCCGTGACTGGGGCAGCAGCCGTACTGCTCAAGCTTGGCTTCGGAGCACTGATCCCTAAGGAGAAGCCAGTTGCCGTGGAAGCAGGAGTTGTTCCAAAAGTGAATCCTGTGGTCTGAGCTGCTGGAGCTTGGGTATTGAGCGAGAAGAGGCTGGTCGAAGGGGTACTCGAAGCCGGCTGGGAGGGCGTTCCGAAGGTAAATCCCCCAGTGCTGGGAGTGGAGAAAGAAAACCCTGTTGAGGGTGTGGTGGTTGCTGTTCTCGCGGTGCCAAATGTGAATCCGCCTGTGGAAGCGCCAGTGCTTCCGAAATTAAACCCGCTCATGGTTCCAGACTGTGGTGGCAACAGCTACTCCAACTCTCAAAGCAAATCGGCCAGCGTCTACAACCTTGGGAAGATTTTTAAAGCACAGGAAGTGACATGATCAGAGGGCAGTTTTGGAAAGGCAATCTCACTAGCACGATGGCGCATGTTGGTCTGGAGGGCGGTAGGGCTGGACTCTGCTAAATCAGCACCGTCCATGCCTGGGGCTGGGGTGCTGGGAGCTGGGTGTGCTCGGGCAGGGCAGAGCCCAGTCAGGACAGGGGACCCTGCTGCCACAGAGAAGGCAAACAGGCCCCGAATGGAGTTTAGCCCTGAGAGCAGCACGAGGGGACCCGAAACACCACCATGGAGCCTGCTCCCATCTCAGCGGGGTCCTGCTGGCTGCAAGGGGTGCCTGTGTACGGGAGCTGACCTGGCTCGTGCTGCCCTGAGTGCCACTCTGGCCGCTGAAGGCTACTCCTGGGCACACCCTCACCACTCCAGGCGACCAAGGGCATGCTACAGCCTGCCCGCTCCAAGTGGTCAGCCAGGGCACTGGGCGCTCCACCCCGGGATAAACAGACCTGGGCCAGCAGCCAGAGCCTCCCCCTTGGATTTTTCTCCAGGCGGCGGGGGAGGGGCCTTTTACAAAACTGGGTGAGGCCAAGGGTCTGCACCCGGACCAGACCTTCTCCTGGGTATCTCCTCGGCCACCACAGTGGGAGGAAATGAGACACCACAGGGCGACAGGTGGGGGTAAAGCGCACCCAGGAGCTCCAAGGCCAGCGCGTCCCTGCTCAGTCTGAACTGACTGGCATTCTTCAAAGTCCAGCTTCAGGAGCCCCTGGCAGGACCCTAGAAGCAGCAAAGGTGGGAGTTTACCTGTGGGGAGGGGGCGAGGGAGCATGAGTGCTGGACAGGGGCACTCGATACAAGATGGGCCTGGAGGGCGCTGGGATAGATGGCGACTCTCACGAGCACCCATGGGCAGGAGTCCCGTCCCACAGCAAAGATGAGCAGATGGGCTCAGAGGGCTGCAGGCATCTGTCCAGGGTCACCAGGGGGAAGTCAGGAGCTGAGCCCAAGCTGTGGGCCTGCAGAAGCCAGTGACTCCCACTGGGCCAATTCAGGAGCCCCGCTGAGCACCGACTGAAGACAGTTGTCTCCCTGCACTCAACTATGGCAGCAGTCGGAGGTGATCAGAGGCACGGCTGCGAAAAGGGCCAGGAGATCATCGTAAGGGGACAGGAGCCATCTCCCTTCTAATCTGGAGCAGTTTCTAAGTGCACTCTTTCTATAGCAAAGACCCATATTGATAGGCTTTGGGTTTTAAAAGAACCAGTTTATGAACGTGAATTCATTTTGAGAAAGAGGTGGACTCAAGCCAGTTTTTGTAATCATACGAAGGCGGGATACACTGACTTAATGAAACAAGTTCTTCTAAGCTGGCTGTCAGATTTTGGTGGTAGGCAGGGGGACCCTGAGCCAGGTGGCTGGAGACCATAAACTGGCTGAAGGCAGCAGAAAACATAACAGGCTGAACCAGGCGCGGTGGGGCAGCCTGTAATCCCAGATCTCAGGAGGCCGAAGCGCATGAGGATCCCTGCGAGTTCGAGCTGGACTGGGCTACACAGTAAATTCAAGGTCTGCCTGAACTACATAGCAAGACCCTTTCTAAAAAAGCAAAATACTGAGGTGGGAAGATTACCCTGGATACCCAGCGGGCCATAAGTATAGGTGTGATGGTACACAATGGAGGCAAGCTGGGTATAGTGGTGCATGCCTATAGTCCTAGCAGTTGGGCTAGGGCAGGACAAGCTCAAACCCAGCGTGGGCTACACAGCGAAACTCTGTCAACAAGCAAACCCTCCTCCCTACCCCGTGAACAAACAAACTCTAAAGAAAGATGGAGGCAAGCTGGGCGTGGTGGAGCACACCTGTAATCCCAGCACTCGGGAGGCTGAGGCAGGAGGGTCCCTGTGAGTTCGAGACCAGCCTGGGCTACAGAGTGAGTTCTAGGTCAGTCTCAACTACATAGCGAGACCCTGTCTCAAAAAAACAACCCCCCCCAAAGAAAGAAAGAAAGACGGAGGCAGAGGGAGTGTTGTGGGGGAGGTCACGTGCTGACGGAGGCAGTCGGAAGTGCAGTGACCTCCAGGTGCAGGAAAAGGCAGGGAAAGGGGCTCTCCTCTGGGGCCCATGCATCCTGGTTTGGCCCAGTAAAGCTCATTTCAGACGTCCGATCACAGCCATGAGGGTTTCAGTGTGCGTAGTTTTTAGACACTCGATTTGTGTTAATCTATGAGAACAGCCAGAGGAAACTGAGTAGTAAGTGAAGGAAGGGCGAAGCAGGTGGGTCTGGCAGATCTGAGGTGTGACACAGTCAACCCGAGCCAAGGTCCCCAGTGGAGCACAGCAAGGCTCTGGGGGCTCTTCCCTGGAGGCACAGGCAGGGCACGAAGCTGGGGAGGCCTGGATGGTGTGGGGAAGTGAGGAGGACGGCCAGCCGGCAAGTTCCTTTCTGAGACCCAAGTGGCTGACCTCAAGTTTAGTATGAATTCACAGTCTGCTGCCACCACCCAGCGGGGCCTCAGGCTGTGACGAAAAGTCTCAACTCTAAGGTAGCATCATTTCCAGGAAGCTAACCCCAACCCTAACAACTGGGCCCTCTGTTACCCTCACAATAGGCCACGAGGGAGGTCAGGATCTCGGTCTGGGACACAGATGGGAAAGAGGTTCAGGAGGCAGTAAGTCACTCATTTTCAACCCCACAAAATTGACACCCTTTACTTCTACTCCACCGTATGGTTCCCAGGGCACCAGTGTACCCTAACTTCCACCTAACATCTTCACATTTAAAAAATTGTTTTTGGTCCTGGGGATCAAACTCGGTCCTTGCGCCTGTGAGGCAGGTGGCGGAACCACTGAGCCAAATCCCCGGCCCTCACATTCTTATCTCCCTTCACTGGGCAGCCGGCCACCGAGGAGCGTTCCCAAGGCGCTCTGCACCTCAGTTTCCACAGCTTCGAAGTCAAGTGGCAGCCTACAGAAGCATCAACGGGGTCCGTTTCTTCTTTCCTCTCCAAGCTGGATCCTATTTCTCAGCAGCTGCTGGGGAACCCCTCCTGGCCAGGTTGGGGAGCCCTCCAACCACACTGCCGCTGGCCGGGGCACTATCAAAGCTCTTACGGGAGCTTCTGCCAAAGGTCTTTTCAATCCAGAAACATGGCTCCCTGCCCTGAGCCCCAGCCTCTTATGTGTGACTGCGCTTCACTGCTGAGCCACCTGGAGCCCGGTTTGTTCCTAGCACCCAAAGCATCCACGTAGCTACACCTACGCCTCAGTTCTCAGGAACTCAGTCTGAGAGAGCTTCTGCTATAAATAAGTTGCAGCTAAAATTGCCCAGAAAAGCATTTATAAAAAGCTCTTTGCAACTATTAAAGAGAACAGCTTTCTGCGAGGGTGCGACTAGGTGAATGGTTCCCATGAGTCAATGCTCCACTGCTCTCCAACGTCCCTGCCAGCAGGGACCTATCCCGGTGGTGCAGATGTGGTGACCCAGGCCTGCTCTGTGCTTCTGACGTGTGACTACGGACTCTGGAGCACACTACGGGCAGGTTCACCTTGTAAATGACAACGGCATGTGCCAAATACAAGCTTCAGGATCAGACTCCAGGGAGCAGCTGAGTAGGCAAAGGAGTGGCCCAGGTGAAGGCGGAGGCTGACACAGGTGTCTTGGAGCGGGAAGGGACCTGGGGTGGCTGGATGGACAGAGTGTTCAGTAAAGGCTGTCCAGACCCTGAGGATTCTTAAGAAAGGCCTGGCCCGTGCCCAGCTCCTGGGAGGGGATCCAGCTGGATGTTCCAGTGCCAGCGTTTTGGTTACCTGGGGGCTCAGGCCAAACAACGAAAGCTGAGCTGGGGGCGGGGATGCGCATTAGAGACAAAAGACTGAAGTCTGGCCTCAGGGGTGCTCCAGCCTACAGGACCGCACCCCGTACCCTCAGGCACACTTCCTGGTTGCCAGACTGAAGGCCCCTGTGAGTGAAAGTGCAGCCAACTGGAACTGCACTTTTTGCTCCTTTCCTAGGCTAGAGGCACCTGGCACGCTCCTCTTCCAGGGCAGATGTAGTGGAGCTCGCGATCAGCCCCTCAACCTGGTGCTGTGCGGCGGGATGCGCGGTACCTCAGGTGTATTCCGCATACTCCTGTCTTGGGATGGGTTTACCAGGACTCAGCACCACAGTGACCAAGGAGCACCCGGGAGCTCACACCTGGACGAACCCACGCCTCTTCCCTTTTTACTCCTGGATTTTACTCTGTACTAAGCTGTAACTGTGAGGAGACTGCTGTATTTTTGCTGAGCCTGGGGAGCCCCAGGGAAGCACAAGTGGTGGTCCTGGGAGGCACAACACCACAAGATGTGTGGGAGAAGCCGGCAGAGACACAAATTCCATGCCAATGACTCCTCCTTACACGGAGGGAGCCTCAAGGACGTGAGGGGGAAGGGACTGCCATGGCCAGGGCCAGACAGGAGAGGTACGGGCTGGAAGTTGGGGGCTGGGAGGAGGCTGGGCAGCAGTTCAAGCTGAGACAGGCCTCAAAGGACTCTGGGGACAGAGCCTGAAAAATTAGTTAGGGAATGTGGAAGCTTGTGCAAAAATTGCAGGTCTGCGCCGGTTGTGGTGGCGCACGCCTGTAATCCCAGCACTTGGGAGGCTGAGGCAGGAGGATCACTGTGAGTTGGAGACCAGCCTGGGCTACACAGAGAGTTCCAGGCCAGTCTCAACTATGTAGTGAGAGCCTGTCTCAAAAAGAAAAAAGAAAAAAATTGCAGGTCTGCTCAAGTGAACAAAGCCAGCAACAATCAGACTGGTGGAGTTTCTCCAAATGCAAACGTGAGCTTTGGTGTGTGCTTTTCTGCATTTCCAACTGTACAGGAGTGGGAAGTTTTCCTAGGAGCAGCAGGTGGGAGAGACCCAGACTGTTTCCTAGGAAAGGTGGAGGGTGTGCCTGGCTGGACAAGCCCACCCACCTCTCCCCAGGCATCTGCCTGTTTCAGAACCCCCACTTCACAGCAGGAGCA